AACAACATAAGACTGGATTTCTCTGAGTCATACTTCCTAAATAGGGAGATGTAATACCATAATGATAGTCCCTAATTAATCTTAAAAGTAAATGCCAACCTTAATCAAAATTTCAACAGGACTCCTTATGGAACTTGACAAGCTGATGATAAAATTCTGTAGGAAGAGACATTGTGAGAAAATATCTAAGGACCAAATAGAAAAATAGTAAAGAGGGAACCATATGCTCTAGCAAATATAAAACATAAAGAGCTAGTAATTAGACACTGTGCTATTAACCAGGAATAGGCAAATAGATCAATGCATCAGAATGAAGTCCCCCAAAATTTACATACATACACACTTACATAGTACATATATATGGCATTTGAAACTCCTAAGAGAAGTTTAGTTTATTCATTAATGCTGTTCTTTGATATTTTAATTAGGTTGTATTTAATATCTGTGTAGAATAAAATACAGAAATGAAAGATTAAGATGGAATTCTGTTTTTTCTAACTAAATGTGCTTGAAAATATCCCCAAATGAAAATAAAGAACCTTTTTGGTTCCTAATCTTGGAATTTGAATAGCAAGTATGTTCCTTCCAAAGAAAGGGTTTGGTTTGAGTATTTCTTAGAATTAGGAGATTTAAATCCTTCTCAGTTCTTTGAAATGTGTGTTTCATCAAAATCAATGGTATAGTCCAGTTAAAATTTTTTAAGTGAAAAAAACCCATGTTTTCTCAACAACAAGACTGCAAAGGCCATGCTATTTGCTAAAGTATCTTTCTGGAGCCTTTGATGAAGTTTTAATTTTCTATCTAAAAACATTTTGTTTTCTACTAATACCTTTTATTTAGATGTCGTCTAAATAGTAATCATTTAAAATAAGCATATAAACTTGTATAAATTAGAAAGTAGTATTAAGAGAGAAACAAACTTTAAAATTTCTAAACACCTAATAAATGCTTTCATCCAGGACATTCAACATCTTCAACTAAAAATTTTGTGGAGAGTTCTTTCTCAAATATGAAACTTGTACATAGTAATCACTGTTAAATAAAAGCACATTTTGTACATATATACATGTATATACATATATATATGTGCGCACACACACACACACACATATATATACACACCCATACAGTTCAGTTCAGTCGCTCAGTCATGTCCGACTCTTTCTGACCCCATGAATCGCAGCACGCCAGGCCTCCCTCTCTATCACCAACTCCCGTAGTTTACTCAAACTCTTGTCCATCAAGCGGTGATGCCATCCAGCCATCTCATCCTCTGTCGTCCCCTTATCCTGCTGCCCCCAATCCCTCCCAGCATCAGGAATGCTTCCCGTGAGGTGGGCAAGGTATTGGAACTTAAGCTTCAACATTAGTCCTTCCAATGAACACCCAGGACTGATCTCCTTTAGGATGGACTGGTTGGTTGGATTCCTTGCAGTACAAGGGACTCTCAAGAGTCTTCTCCAACACCACAGTTCAAAAGCATCAATTTTTCGGCGCTCAGCTTTCTTTCACAGTCCAACTCACATCCATACGTGACTACTGGAAGAGCCATATCCTTGACTAGCCGGACCTTTGTTGGCAAACTTAATGTCTCTGCTTTTTAATATGCTGTATAGGTTGGTCATAACTTTCCTTCCAAGGAGTAAGCATCTTTTAATATCATGGCTGCAGTCACCATCTGCAGTGATTTTGGAGCTCAAAAAATAAAATCTGCCACCGTTTGCACTGTTTCCCCATCTATTTCCCATGAAGTGATGGGACCAGATGCCATGATCTTAGTTTTCTGAATGTTGAGCTTTAAGCCAACTTTTTCACTCTCCTCTTTCACTTTCATCAAGAGGCTCTTTAGTTCTTCTTTACTTTCTGCCATAAGGGTGGTGTCATCTGCATATCTGAGGTTATTCACATTTACCCCAGCAATCTTGATTCCAGCTTGTGCTTCTTCCAGCCCAGTGTTTCTCATGATGTACTCTGTGTATAAGTTAAATAAGCTCAGTGACAATATACAGCCTTGAGGTACTCCTTTTCCTATTTGGAACCAGTCTGTTGTTCCATGTCCAATTCTAACTGTTGCTTCCTGACCTGAATACAGCTTCCTCAAGGGACAGGTCAGGTGGTTGGTATTCCCATCTGTTTCAGAATTTTCCATAGTTTGTGGTGATCCACACAGTCAAAGGCTTTGGCATAGTCAATAAAGCAGAAATAGATGTTTTTCTGGAAGTCTCTTGCTTTTTCGATGATCCAGCGGCTGTTGGCAATTTGATCTCTGGTTCCTCTGTCTTTTCTAAAACCAGTCTGAACATCTGGAAGTTCATGGTTCATGTATTGCTGAAGCCTGGCTTGGAGAATTTTGAGCATTATTTTACTAACGTGTGAGATGAGTGCAATTGTGTGGTAGTTCGAGCACTCTTTGGCATTGTCTTTCTTTGGGATTGGAATGAAAACTGACCTTTTCTAGTCCTGTGGCCACTGCTGAGTTTTCCACATTTGCTGGAATATTGAGTGCAGCACTTTCACAGCATCATCTTTCAGGATTTGAAATAGCTCAACTAGAATTCCATCACCTCCACTAGCTTTGTTCATAGTGGTGCTTCCTAAAGCCCACTTGACTTCACATTCCAGGATGTCTGGCCCTAGGTGAGTCATCACACCATCGTGACTATCTGGGTCGTGAAGATCTTTTTTGTAGAGTTCTTCTGTGTATTCTTGCCACCTCTTCTTAATATTTTCTGCTTCTGTTAGGTCTGTACCATTTCTGTCCTTTATCGAGCCCATCTTTGCTTAAAGTGTTCCCTTGGTATCTCTAATTTTCTTGAAGAGGTCTCTAGTCTTTCCCGTTCTGTTATTTTCCTCTATTTCTTTGCATTGATCACTGAGGAAGGCTTTCTTATCTCTCCTTGCTGTTCTTTGGAACTCTGCATTCAAATGGGAATATCTTTCCTTTTCTCCTTTGCCTTTCGCTTCTCTTCTTTTCACAGCTATTTGTAAGGCCTCCTCAGACAGCAATTTTGAGTTTTTGCATTTCTTTTCCATGGGGATGGGCTTGATCCCTGTCTCCTGTACAGTGTCACAAACCTCCATCCATAGTTCATCAGGCACTCGGTCTATCAGATCTAGTCCCTTAAATCTATATCTCACTTCCACTGTATAATCATAAGGGATTTGATGTAGGTCATACTTGAATGGTCTAGTGGTTTTCCCTACTTTCTTCAATTTAAGTCTGAATTTGGCAATAAGGAGTTCATGATCTGAGCCACAGTCAGCTCCCAGCCTTATTTTTGCTGACTGTATAGAGCTTCTCCATCTTTAGCTGCAAAGAATGTAATCAATCTGATTTCAGTGTTGACCATCTGGTGATGTCCTTGTATAGAGTCTTCTCTTGTGTTGTTGGAAGAGGGTGTTTGCTATGACCGGTGCATTCTCTTGGCAAATCTCTATGAGCCTTTGCCTTGCTTCATTCTGTACTCCAAGGCCAAATTTGCCCATTACTCCAGGTATTTCTTGATTTCCTACTTTTGCATTCCAGTCCCCTATAATGAAAAGGACATCTTTTGGGGGTGTTAGTTCTAAAAGGTCTTGTAGGTCTTCATAGAACCGTTCACCTTCAGCTTCTTCAGTGTTACTGGTTGGGGCATAGGCTTGGATTACTCTAATATTGAACAGTTTGCCTTGGAACAGGGGTCATTCTGTCGTTTTTGAGATTGCATCCAGGTACTGCATTTCAGACTCTCTTGTTGTCCATGATGGCTACTCCATTTCTTCTAAGGGATTCCTGCCCACAGTAGTAGATATAATGGTCATCAGTTAAATTCACCCATTCCAGTCCATTTCAGTTTGCTGATTCCTAGAATGTCGACGTTCACTCTTGCGTTCTCCTGTTTGACCACTTCCAATTTGCCTTGATTCATAGACCTAACATTCCAGGTTCCTATGCAATATTGCTCTTTACAGCATTGGACCTTGCTTCTATCACCAGTCACATCCACAGCTGGTGTTGTTTTTGCTTTGGCTCCATCCCTTTATTCTTTCTAGAGTTATTTCTCCACTAATCTCCAATAGCATATTTTGGGCACCTACCAACCTGGGGAGTTCATCTTTCAGTGTCCTATCATTTTGCCTTTTCATACTGTTCATGGGGTTCTCAAGGCAAGAATCTGGAAGTGATTTGCCATTCCCTTCTCCAGTGAACCACATTCTCTCAGACGTCTCTACCGTGACCCGGCTGTCTTGGGTGGCCCTACACGGCATGGCTTAGTTTCATTGAGTTAGACACCACTGTGGTCCATGTGATCAGATTGGCTAGTTTTCTGTGATTATGGTTTCAGTATGTCTGCTCTCTGTTACCCTCTCGCAACACCTACCGTCTTACTTGGGTTTCTCTTCCCTTGGACGTGGGGCATCTCTTCACAGCTGCTCCAGCAAAGCACAGCTGCTGCTTCTTGCCTTGGATGAGGGGTATCTCCTCACGGCCCCCCCTCCTGACCTTGAACGTGGAATAGCTCCTCTTGGCCCTCCTGCACCTGCGCAGCTGCCGCTCCTTGGATGTAGGGTACACATATATACACACATACACAAATACACACACACACAAATCATGTGGGAAAGGCACCAGCTGGTTTCTCTCATTAATAAACAGGTTTACTAGTAGAGTGGACAATTGGAGAACTGGACCAAAAGAATCTTATCTATTGTTAATAGGATGAGAAAGAGACTTGTAGGACAACCACAGTAGAATGGTATTTGCGAGCAAAACTTTTTAAAATAGCATGACTTTCAAATCTGTTCAACACCTAGGTTCCAAGGACATGATGCCCTTGATGTATGCTTATAATTGGCCATTCAGTCCAGCTGAATAGTCAGTCATTGGCTGTTTGTAACCTTTATTTATTTTCTCATACATGATGACTTCTTTGTTACCTTTATTTATTTTCTCATGCATGATGACTTATTCTCTATGCCTAGACAGTAATTGTGTGGCTGCTCTTTTCCTTTTCTTTCAGGCGAATATAGACCTCTTATTAGTGGGCGATGTCACAGTTCAGTACCTGGCTGATACTGTACAGAAATTATTTTCAAATATAGCAGAAGTCACCGTCATCATTAGTGATGTGAAAAGGGCAGCAGCACTTGTGGATGACTGCACGTTTGACATGGTTTTCCTGAAGCTGACTTCTTCACCAACTGCCGAGGAGCTGGAAGTGGTCAAATTAATCAGGTAAAATCTTGACTCTATATCTTTAGAACAGTTTTTATTAAAACTTGCTTCTATAAAAATCCTTAGAAGATGATACTCTTCTACTTTAATTTTTAAGGTGAGAGATATTTTCAAGGGCAAAATCTCTCTATATGTCTTTGTTTTTATGGCCAGTTTGGCATACTATTACAAGAATTGTCATTTTAACTTAAAAAGTAATAGGTAAGGGTATAAGAATTAATTGGTTGTAGAAATTTATTTGGTATGTAATGCTTCCTTTAATTCAATAGGCACTCTGTTTTAATAACGATGTCATTAGCATGGCATATCTTTGCAGAGTTCATTAATTGTTATAGCAGCTACTAAAGCAGGTGAGCACTCTGGGTCATGATGGCTGTGGGCTGAAGGTGTCTCTTTCAAGAAATTTCCCAATGTGAAAGAGCCATGATGTTCTCTGTATCCCCTGAGTCCAAGTCAATATCGATTCCGTTACTCTTGTTTCATCCAGCAGGTCCATAGACGTTCTGCTTCTGTTTGACTCGCTTCACTCTGGAGATCTGGGGTCTAGAGGTGAAGAGTTAGGTTCTTCCTTGCCTGATTATATATGATTTTGAGTCATTTAGGATGTTTTTAAATAGGGTTAGGTGAGATTGAATGTGTTTCCCTTCTGTGAGAAGACTCGATGAAGTGTAATTTGTTTAAGGACTTCTCATCATTATAGGAGAGGTCTTTCTAGATCAAAGAAGAAAGTTCAGAGCAATACTGTAATCCCAGAATAAAAAGGAGCAAGAATATTACATTAGGAGAAAAGAAAGATGGGACTGGGAAAAAGCCAGAGCCACTGGTTACTTGTTAAAGACAAGACAGAAGACAGATCCTGCTCCTGGGGTTTCTTGGAACTTTTGGTCTTATGAATTTCATTGGCTTTCTACTCAGAATATGAACTAAACAAACCAGGCAAATTACCTCAAAGAGGATTTCACTTCCAAAACATGTTGTGTACAATCTTCTTTCTGAAGATATGCCTATTTTGCTAGTACATCTTTTCAAAACGTCTCCTAAATATAGAGTACCTCTCACTGAAGGTACATAGTAATATCTCACTTATATAGCATTTTAAAGGATTTACAACAGCTTTATGAGGGCAGGGCTTCATCATTCCTTCTCGGCAGATAAGAAACCTGAGGCTGAAGTGGCTTGCATGAGACCACATGGCTTCTGTTCACACAGCTCAGACTAGAATTCTTTATTCTTCCCTTCATGTTCTTTCTTCTAAAAGTCTGTAATGATCTGGCTGTTTACACCTCTGAGATCCCATAAATGCCAAACTTACTGTAAACTAAACATATCGTTCTGGAAGAGCAGTGGACCAGCCGGGTGGCTGATCTCGCTTCATTCCAGGGGCCGGAGTCTAGCCGTGCTCCTCCAAATGTGGTAAAAGCCTCATGTATGCGCATGATTGAGGCTACATTTTGAACCAGATAAGATTAAAGTTATGTTGAAGAACAGGCTTTATGTCTAGTCACAGTTGTTAAAAGCTTTAGGGACAGAGGAGAGAGCCTCTGTGTGATCCTTCCCTCTGTGGATTCTTTCTCTGCTCTGAATATTTAAGCTTAAGATGTGTTAGCAGAGAGAAGAAGACAGATAAAGGAACTAACTATACAGACATGTATATGATAGCTCGGTTATTTTGCTGTAAAGTCATTTGTTTGAAAAGGAAAAAAAAATATATAATTTGTCGAGTACACTTAAATTTGGTCTCTCTCTCTCTCTTTTTTTTTTTTTTTGGTCTCATTATGTTATTCTCAATATTCAGTTTAGGTATTGACTAATACTAGATATCCCATACTTTGCTCTAGGTATGGGTGGGTGAGCATACCTCAGAAGGACCATGCGTCCTAACTTTCGTGTTCCTCTTTGAAAGAGGGACCAAGGTTTCTTTGTGGAAGCTTTGTGTTTCCTGATACTGACCTCAGCAGCTGGAAATGTCTCTGAAATTCCCGTTCTTGTCCTCAGAACTGTTATGACTTTATGATTTATTGATACCCTTATGGACCATGTTTATATTTTGAGGCTATACATTTTCTTAGGATAATGAGTCTCATGAACACCTTGCCCCATTTATAAGGCATTAAATCTTTATCTTTCCTAGAACACTTTATTTCATGAGTTTTAGGCTAACATTAAATGACTAAGCCAAGATAAAGGGTTTCAGCTTAGCTTTTTTATGCTGTATTTTGTATTTTTCCCCTTAGAACTTTGTCGTTGTTCTATTATATCTCAAAATCTGGATAGGTTCAGGAAAATATAGAAGTATTTACCTTACTTTTCTCTCTTTGGGCACTTACGTGCCCTGTCAGTAAGTAAAGAACTTACTATAGAGTGAAACTGGCCCATGTTTATTCTCAGAGCGCGTGATCACAAGTGTATTTGTATCTATAGTGCATGTCGATTTCTATTGAAAATAAGAGTGACTGTACTCTGTTAGCTATATAAACTTCTTTTAGGATAAAATGCAAGCAAGCTCATTAAAAAGATTTTAAAATTTACTCTTGCAGAAGAACTATGGTTTTGGCCTGGGACTAATCATGAAACAGTTTTAAATATTCATAAAAATAATAGTACTTTATACCCTGACATCCTCAAGAATGATGGCACGTCTTAATTATAGGTTGACATTCCTAGTTGAGTTCAGTTCAGTCATGTCTTACTCTTTGCAACCCCATGGACTGCAATAAACCAGGCCTCCCCGTCCATCACCAGCTCCTGGAGCTTGCTCAAACTCATGTTCATTGAGTCGGAGATGCCATCCAATCATTTCATCCTTTGCCATCCCCTTCTCCTCCTGCCTTCAGTCTTTCCCAGCATCAGGGTCTTTTCCAGTGAGTCAGCTCTTCACATCAGGTGGCCAAAGTACGAGAGCGTCAGCTTCAGCATCAGTCCTTCCAGTGAATATTCAGGACTGATCTCCTTTAGGATGGAGTGGTTGGATCTCCTTGCAGTCCAAGGGATTCTCAAGAGTCTTCTCAAACACCACAGTTCAAAAGCATCAATTCTTCCTCTCAGCTTTCTTTATAGTTCAACTCTCGCATCCATACATTACTACTGGAAAAAGCATAGCTTTAACTAGACGGACCTTTGTTGGCAAAGTAATGTCTCTGCTTTTTAATATTCTGTCTAGGTTGGTCATAGCTTTTCTTCCAAGGAACAAGCGTCTTTTACTTTCATGGCTACAGTCACCATCTGCAGTGATTTTGGAGGCCCCCAGTAATAAAGTCTGTCACTGTTTGCATTGTTTTCCCATCTGTTTGCCATAAAGTGATGGGACTGGATGCCACAATCTTAGTTTTCTGAATGTTGAGTTTTAAGTCAACTTTTTCACTCTCCTCTTTCATCAGGAGGCTCTTTAGTTATTCTTTTTGATTTTGATGTCATTTCATGAATATATTCTTAATGAGCCAGATGAACTACCACGGAATGGTCAAGTATTTTAAGATGATCTCAAGATTCATATTCTTGGTTCCAGAATTTCAGGAGTGTTTGACCCTTGGTGCAGGTCAGTTCTCAAAACTGAGCCAAATTCAAAAGGCAGACACTTGGTAATTCAGATGCATCCAGACACTCTATCTTACAAAGACCAGTACAGAACATCAGAGTATGTTACAGATTCGTCCACTGTGTTTGCATCCTGTTTGGCATTGTGACTTTCTAGTCCATGAACTTTCTCCGAGGTCCTTCAAACTCTGTGATTCTCATGAGCTCAGAGCAGTACAGCGACGGGGAGGGAACACAAAATGTGCTTCCATATGCTCAGTCAGCAAATCAAGTTTGATTCTGATTTCACTTTTTCCCATGTAGATCCAGTTGTCTGATCAGTTAACTTATTACTTCATTAAGGAAACCCAATCTCATGAGCCACAGGGGCCTTACAGGTCATCCTGTTATGTCCCCAAATTTCAGGACATCCTTGACTTGACAGTGCTGCTCAGAAAATCCGATTAGCCAGTCTGCATGACCTGAATTCTTGACACTAAACACTATAACAGCAAAACACCTAAGTAGTTTTTCTAAAAGCTTAATTCTATAAATAAGAACTGAGGAACATTCTAGATGTTTATTGTTTCTAGCATCACATCATCTGGTGAACCTGACTTAGGGTCGCAGCAGAAATTGTTCTGACAAAAAGCACACAGTGAGCAGGGCACAGCAGCCTTCACTATTGTCTGGAAGAAATCATTGCATGTTATTGCAGGAGCCCTATTAGTAGCAAGTAAACTCACAGTTTTCATATTTATAGAAAAACTCTTAATTTTCTCACTGAAAATGGTTGTTGTTTTAATTAATTAATAAAGGACATTACTTGTTACAAAGACCAAATTAGACTACGCCAGGTTAATTTGATTGCATTGGGCCCACAGGCAGCATAATGGAAACAGTACTCAGGGAGGCTGCTCCTCAAAAATGACACTGGCTTTTGTCTTTTGAAATCCTTGTGCTATAAAGGAAGTGCATTTTAAAATGTCCCCTGGCTTCATATGGACTTATAAGAACCCTTTTGGTTCTCCTATTAGATGACAGATTTCAGAAGCCAGCTGGGTTTTTCTGAGGTTCTTTGATCATCAGAGTGTACAACTTGGCTCAAAACACCTTTGTGTGATCTTTTTATTTTTTTGTTCCAGCTACCAGGGACTGTACTTGGGGATGGGGACCAGGCTGGGGGTGGGCACTGCTGCAGTGTGAGCTTATAGCAGCCTCCAGTTCCAGAGGGTGCTGGAGATGGATGTGTAGGTATGGACACTAGAACATCAATACCCAGTCTTGTGTATGGAGGAACCGTCATGTCATTTAAGCAGTGTATATGGTGAAACATGCTGCTGCTGCTGCTGCTAAGTCGCATCAGTCGTGTCTGATTCTGTGCGACCCCATAGATGGCAGCCCACCAGGCTCCTCCGTCCCTGGGATTCTCCAGACAAGCATACTGGAGTGGGTTGCCATTTCCTCCTCCAATGCATGAAAGTGAAAAGTGAAAGGGAAGTCACTCAGTCCTGTCCGACTCTTCACGACCCCATGGACTGCAGCCCACCAGGCTCCTCCATCCCCCATGGGATTCTCCAGGCAAGAGTACCGGGAGTGGGTTGCCATTGCCTTCTCTGTGGTGAAACATGAGGGGAAATAAATTATCCCCCAGCAAGCTGCAGATTTTTAAAATCTCAGGAGACCTCAACTGAGAAGGTGTTCATAAGGTCTCAGAACCTGCAATTTGGCTTTGGTAAGTGAAAGAAGTGGTATCAGTTGGGGTGGAGGAAGGAGATTTTTGTTGTATTTTGGTGTTGCTTAGTTTTGCTTTAAGGAACATTCATTTAGTGGAAAGAGGACCTTTTTTGGTGACCCTGGAAACTAGAAACTCTTTCAGCTTATTGATTTGTACAGAATGTGATTGAGAAGCTGATCTGTGGACCAGAGTGTTGGATTCTGGGAACTCTATTGATTGCTGGGGTTCCTGTACAATTAGGGCTCCACCGGCAGGGGAAGTGTTTGGGTTGGTAATTGATTCTGTTCTCTTGACAAAAATCCAGGAATTCCAACTCTGTAAAGCTTGAAATTCATTAGGGTATAAAAATCCATATATCCAAATCTAACCTGTTTTCTGGTCAGTAAAATCAATTGAAAAGTAGAAACAGGATTATTTCTAAAAGAAGAGAATCTGTTTTTTAAAACTTCTCTAATTCTAGAATATTTTAACTTACAATGATGTATTTTTTCATTAATCTGGAAAGTATTTTTTATTTCAAAAGTTGGACTAAACTACCCACTCACTTTCTATCTGTTCAGTCCATTTGTGCCTCCCCTCTCATCCTGTTATCCATACACCTGGTATACTCTACACTTTTTCATCACTTACAAAATAGATATGAAAAGCTTACATCATGGCAGGGGTTATTCTCTCCTCACTACCCCCACCATCCACGCCACACCCCCGCCGCCCGTGTGCTAATGGGCCTTTCTTACTGTCACGTCAGTCTGTGGTCAGATTCTACCCTCCCTCCCACTATTGCGTATTTTGACGGTAGAACAACTTCCTGAGCTTCTCATTGCCTCATAGAAAGCATATGAGGTTTCCTCTCTTCTTTCCTTTCTTTCCTCTCATCTCGTTCTGTCCACATTCTCTTTCAGAATTCATAGCAAGGAATCAACCCTGAATACATCTCAGTTGAGTGATTGTCACATTTTAGCAATATCCTGCTTGTTTGACATAATTGACTTAGTAAATATCGTGAGTCATTTAAAGAAAGTTCTTAGTATGTCTCAGTAGTTTTTTCTCTGCCAGCTCTTGCCTGGATAGCTTACACTGTGGTCTCTCAGATGTATTCTCTGCCACCTTCTGTCAGCTCACCCTGTTGTAGGCAGAGTGGTCTCCCCAAAATGCAAAGAGAATCATGTTACTCCCAAGCTTAACAGTTTCGCTTGTCCGTCTTATTGTATTTATTTATTGCTCATTTTAATGAAATACTGCCTCTTTTACTTGGCCTAAAAGGCGTACTGTAATCAGACTCCAGCCCTGCCTCCCTGTCTAGTCTGTCTTAAGTGTCTGTCCTTCAAAAACTCTGTACTAGAGCCATCCTGGGCTTCTTTTACCTTCTGGGATTCACCTGCTCGTTGCACCCGTTGTACATCTGCTGTTCCCTCTCCAGAATGCACTTGGCTGCTCGTCTGCTTCCCGCCCTCCCACAGCCCCTGCCTGTCCTGTGGCTCCTCCTCGCCAGCTGGGGTGCCTCTGCCTGAAGCTGCAGAGCAGGTTTCTGCCCAGGCCGTGCTCCCCTCAGACCCCACGGCTTTCCTTTGCAGCACTAGGCGCAGAGTTGCCACTGAATTACTCAACTACAGGCATTTGCTCAGTGTCTGTCCTCCCCAAAAACGTGTTGACTCCACGAGGACAGGGACTAGTCTTTCTGTTTGTTCACGGTATCCCCCAGAGCCAGCAGAGAATCTGGCACACAGTAGGTTCTCAGTATGTATGGCTCAGATCTGTATACTGTGTGTAATGTAATTTGGAGTGTAGAATAGAGTATATTTACTTTCAAATGCAGTTATAAGATGACCAAATATTGTTCAGTGGGGGATCTTCCAGGTCTTGTTTTAAGGAATAAATAATAACCATATATATGACCATATACTAATAAATGATGCTTTACATATTTAAGAATAGTTTGTCTTCAGCAGTTTTAGCTGTTCTCTTTAAAGTCAGGTTCACAGTATTATTCTCCATGGAAAATCATTTTCTTTTAGCTAATGTCAATGCTCAGTGTCCACCAAACTATCAGAATTCCACCTTACTGAATTCCTAAGTGTAGTTAACAATAATGCCACAATTAAAAAAGAATCATGTTGGAAATCTTCAAGTGTATTAGAGAGAAAAGTACAATGAACTTCCAGATGCCCATAATAGTTATCAATATACAGCCAATCTTGTTTCATACCTACCCTCTCCCACACCTCCTTCTCCAGCCTCCCATCCCTGCTCACTGGTAGGTTATTTTAAAGGCAAGGTGGATTATTTTAAAGCAAATCTAAGACATCATTTCCTTTTATCCATGAGAACTTAAATAAGTACCTGTCTAAGATAAGGAATCTTTAAAAAGCAATACCAATAATCACACCTAAAAAATTAATAACAATTCCTTAGTATTGTCAAAAATCCAGTTGGTGTTCAAATTTCTCTTGTTTATCTTATGATTTCTTTTTTAAACTGTGAGTTTTATACAAACGAAGATTCAATTTTCCTTTCCTTTTGATTTTTTTCTTTTTATCTTTTCTTTATGTGTTTTATAAAGGGGCCATTTGTCTTATAAATTTCCCACATTCCAATTTCATCCCCATAGCATCTTAAAAAATAATCCTCTTTTTTTTAAATGTCGTGTAAACTTGTAGTTAGATCAAGAATCTGGGTAAGGTTTAGGCTCATTTTTTTTAAAGTGAGAATAAAAGTAGTCCATCTTATATTCTACCTAATACATGAGCCATATTTTCAAATACCTGAGCCGTATTCTCAAAAATATCCAGATCATCAAAAACAAAAGTCAGCAAAAATGTCACAGTGCAGAGTAGCCTAAGAGAGCCTTATCACTAAATGTAATGTAGGATCCTGGATAGAATCCTGGCATAGGAAAAAAAGTACATTAGGAAAAATGAAATTGGAATAAAGAATGAGCTTAAATTAATAATAATGTACTGATGTTGGCTCATTAATTGTAAGAAATTTTCTAAATTAATGCAAGGTGTATGCAGTATAGGAAATTGGGTTTGGGGTATATGGAAAATCTACTGTTTTCATATTTTTTTCTGTAAATGTAAAATTATTTTAAAGTTAAAGGTTTATTTTTAAAAAATCACCTCTTTCTCACTTACCCCTTGCCCAGTTTTAAACAGCTGGCATTAGTGGTTGCTATAGAAATGAACTGTAAAAAGACTATTCTTATTAACAGAGTGAACTCCTGCTCAGAGAAGCCAGGGTTTTGACTAATGATTCAGAATTTGGATTTTCTTGCCGATTAAAAGGAAACAGAGAAGCTAAAGCATCTATTATATATAAAACTTTCAACAGAGCAAGCATGAGTTTCAGAATATCCCCTTCCCTTGTATTTTTCAAATAATCTGTAACTGTACTGTCCACCTCAGCCACACACTGCAGAACCCTCTTTGTGCAATTGCGTGTAATCAAAATGCAACATCTTCTCTTGTAAATTGAAAAAAAGGAAAAAATCCTTCTTATCCCTAGAGCGTCCCTGGTGGCTCAGAGGTAAGAATCCACCTGCAGTACAGGAGATGCGGGAGACGGGTTTGATTCCTGGGTCAGAGAGACCCCCTGGAGAAGAAAATGGCAACCCACTCCAGTATTCTTGCCTGGAAGTTCCCATGGACAGAGGAGCTTGGCAAGCTACAGCCCATAGGGTAGCAGAGTCAGACATGACTTTGCAACTGAACAACAGCAGTCTTTTCCCTCACTGATTAAAGACACTGCTGTCAGTAAATTTCCATATTAACATCACTGTTTTAAATTCTAATGAAATAAAATCACACTAGTGTAGTTACTTCCTAATAAGCTAAATGTATGAATCCCAAGTTTTTTAATGATGATTTTGCTTCATTTTAAGCTTCTTTTTTCCCTTTCAGATTTGGTAAGAAAAAAAATACACATATGCTGTTTGTTTTTATAATCCCTGAGAATTTTAAAGGTATGTGCCTGTTGGGTATATTATTTGTTTTTTTATCCAAATAGAAATCATAAGGTCAATATTTAATACAAAGATTCTTAGGTTGTGTTTCAGGACATGGAGCTGATATTGCTTTAACCGAACCACTAACAATGGAAAAAATGAGTGTTGTGTTGAAATACTGGAAAACATATTTCTCACATACTGGTGAGTGGAAAACAAGTTTCCAAAGGTTTGAAAAATTCTAATTAAAATTCTATGAGAACTGTATTTATACATTTGGTTTTCCACTGATGCCTTTTATATGTTGAGGACTAACTGCATTCTCTATATTGTAAGGACATATAGTCCTTGTTTATCATAGTCTGAAGAAAACAACACACAAGAGGCAACACTACACATGGGCATCACAGATGGTAAATAGCAAAATCAGACTGATTATATCCTTTGCAGCTGAAGGTGAAGATGCTCTATATAGTCAGCAAAAATAAGACTACGAGCTGAGTGTGGCTCAGTTCATGAACTGTTATTGCAAAGTTCAGACTTAAATTGAAGAAAGTAGGGAAAAGCACTAGACCATTCATGTATGACCCAAATCAAATCCCTTACGATTATACAGTGGAAGTGACAAATAGATTCAAGGGATTAGATCTGATAAACAGAGTGCCTGAAGAACTATGGATGGAGGTTGGTAACATTGTACAGGAGGCAGTCATCACGATCATCCCCAAGAAAAAGAAATGCAAAAAGGCAAAATGGTTGTCTGAGGAGGCCTTACAAATAGCTGGAAAAAGAAGGGAAGTGAAAGGCAAAGGAGAAAAGAAAGGATACACCCATCTGAATGTAGAGTTCCAAAGAATAGCAAGGAGAGATAAGAAAGCCTTCCTCAGTGATCAATGTGAAGAAATAGAGGAAAACAATAGAATGGGAAAGGCTAGAGATCTCTTCAAGAAAATTAGAGATACCAAGGGAACATTTAATGCAAAGATGGGCACAATAAAGGACAGAAATGGTGTGGACCTAACAGAAGTAGAATGTATTAAGAAGAAATGGTAAGAATACACAGAAAACTATACAAAAAAGACCTTCATGACCCAGATAACCACAGTGGTGTGATTGCTCACCTAGAGTCAGACATCCTGGAGTGCAAAGTCAAGTGGGCCTTAGGAAGCATCACTATGAACAAAGCTAGTGGAGGTGATGGAATTCCAGCTGAGCTATTTCAAATCCTAAAAGATGATGCTGTGAAAGTGCTGCACTCAATATGCCAGTAAATGTGGAAAACTCAGCAGTGGCCACAGGATTGGAAAAGGTCAGTTTTCATTCCAATCCCAAAGAAAGACAATGCCAAAGAATATTCAAACTACCACAATTGCACTCATCTCACATGCTAGTAAAGTAATGCTCAAAATTCTCTAAGCAAGGCTTCAATAGTATGTGAACCGAGAACTTCCAGATGTTCAAGCTGGATTTAGCAAGGGCAGAGGAACCAGAGATCAAATTGCCAGCATCTGTTGGACCATAGAAAAAGCAAGACAATTCCAGAAAAACATCTACTTTGGCTTCATTGACTACACCACAACCTTTGACTGTGTGGATCACACAAACTATGGAAAATTCTGAAAGAGATGGGAATACCAGACCACCTTACCTGCCTCCTGAAAAACCTGTAAGCAGGTCAAGAAGCAACATTAGAACCGGACATGGAACAACAGACTGGTTCCAAATTGGGAAAGGAGTACGTCAAGGCTGTATATTGTCACCCTGCTCATTTAACTCTATGCAGAGTACATCATGCAAGATGCCAGGCTGGATGAAGCACAAGCTGGAATCAGGATTGCCGGGAGAAATATCAATAACCTTAGATATGCAGATTATACCACCCTTATGGCAGAAAGTGAAGAAGAACTGAAGAGCCTCTTGATGAAAGTGAAAGAGGAGAGTGAAAAAGTTGACTTTAAAAGTCAACATTCAAAAAACAAAGACCATGGCATCTGGTCCCATCACTTTATGGCAGATAGATGGGGAAACAATAGAAACAGGACTTTCTTTTTGGGGGCTCCAAAAATCACTGCAGATGGTGACTGCAGCCATGAAATTAAGACACCTGCTCCTTGGAAGAAAAGCTATGACTAACCCTAAATAGCATATTGAAAAGCAGAGACATTACTTTGCCAACAAAGGTCCATCTGGTCAAAGCTATGGTTTTTCCAGTAGTCATGTATGGATGTGAGAGTTAGACTATAAAGAAGGCTCAGTGCCAAAGAATTGATGCTTTTGAATTGTGGTGTTGGAGAAGACTCTTGAGAGTCCCTTGGACTGCAAGGAGTTCCAACCAGTCAATCATAAAGGGAATCAGTCCTGAGTATTCATTGGAAGGACTGATGCTGAAACTCCAGTACTTTGGCCACCTGATGTGAAGAACTGACTCACTAGAAAAGACCCTGATGCTGGGAAAGATTGAAGGCAGGAGGAGAAGGGAGCGATAGAGGATGAAATGGTTGGATGGCATCACTGACTCAATGGACATGAGTTTGAGCAAGGTCTGGGAGTTGGTGATGGACAGGGAAGCCTGGCATGCTGCAGTCCATGGGGTCGCAAAGAGTCAGACACCACTGAACTAAACAGAACTGAAGAAAACAAGTGTGAATAAAATAAAGGGAACCATATGTACTCTACCTGTGGAGAAAGTTTGTCTTCAAAGGTTTAAAATGTGTTGCGTAAGGACAAATGCAGTGTTGTAGTTAAGCACAGGGTATTTTTTTTGTTTGTCATTTGTTTTAGTAGCTGCTACCATCATTCCTTAGTCATTTAAATGGACTTATTCATGCTTTGTCATTGTGTGATTATGTAAAAGCCAGCACCATTAACCTTGAGTCTTGTGCTTTGGTGAACACTTGTATATAAATTATTTTACTTGTTTAAGTTAATAGAGTGATTATCCTTTCTGTTTTAGATTTTTATTGTGTGTTACTTTTTTTGGGGGGGTTAGATTTTTATATACAGATAATTGGTGTCAGTGCTTCAATGAGACCTTATATTTCTAAACTCCTCACCTATACTGTATTATGTGTATTGCTAACATCTAAACACTTAAGATAATTAAATTAGTTTTAATATGGCTTGTAAAAGGGCAGACTCCAATTTCTGAAATTATATTCTACTGGAATCATTGTTGATCAGTGACTATTTATGGTTTTTCAAAGTCTGGGTTACAAGCAGGAATCTGTTTAAATTAAGGTATTTTTCTTCAAATGGACCTGGAAGACACTTTTGGGATCGTGCCCTCTCATTTTTTTAAAATGTTCTTCATTATGGAGGGAAGATGAGTGAGTCTGTTTTGTAGCATTCTAATGTCTCCCAGCCACTGCAAGTGTCAGAGTTCTTCCTGGGAGAGAAATGATAACCCTTCTGGACCAAGGTCCTTTTGTAATCTCTTCTAGTTTTGGTTCTCATTGGAAATAGAACAGCTGCTCATCTCCACTTGTCTAGCACATTCCTGTTGGTCATAACCACATCTCACCAGTCATCTCAGCTCTCCTCTGAGGATGGGCAGCTGCAAAACAGCAAAAAAAAGAACAACCGCCAAACCAAAAAACAACACAACCATCAGATGCTTTGACAATGCAGCCACTTACTTAAGACTCATATGCATTTTCTGCCTCTGACATTTACCTGTAAATAATAAATAAGCTCAGTTGAATGCATTTTAAGCACACCTATCACTAATTAGTAGAATCTGGTTAAAGGAGGCTGCTGCGGAGTAAATTGTATGTAGTGTTGTAATTTTGCTTTCTTACACGAGTTGTTCCATGCTTCACAGGCTGAAATCTATAAATAACTTTTTTATTTTAAAAGCACTGCTTTGTAAAATCTATTGAGTGAAACACAACAACTGTTTTTGATTAGAGCTTGCATATGTGATTGACATCATCCTCACCAGTAATTTTATAACTAAAATGGTTCCTTTTTTAAAACTTGCAGTTAAGAATGAAATTTCTGTGAAGCCTGAAGAACCTGAGTTGCCTCTGCCAAAGTCCTACAGTGAACACCTGGGATATTTTTCTACTGATGTATTTGCTTGGTTAGTTTTTTTTTTTCCTTAACTTTTTCCTAATAGCAATTTTTACTGTGTATGTTAATAGCAATTTTTACTGTGTATATTTCATTAAAAAACATTTCTGGAGGACTTATTGATTGTGGAACAGCAGCTCCAGTGCTGGGGGTGATGCAAAAGAAAGTATCTGTTTTGTGGAAGAAGGATGCAGCTTGTTCTGTATTTCAGAATCCTGAGCTGCCCTGAGGGTACATATTAAAGAAGTATCCATCTCAGTATAAGGAAGCACTCCACAGCCACAGGGGAGCAGGTTGAATTTTCAGGTAGTAAGTTACCCATCAGGTTCCCTGATAGCTCAGTTAGTAAAGAATCTGCCTACAATGCAGGAGATCCTGGGTCAGGAAGATCCACGGGAGAAGGGATAGACTACCCACTCCCATCACTGGACACCTTCAAGTAGAGACTGGGTTATATAAAAGCAGTGATGTTCAGACTTTGAAAACAATGGAATCCTGAGCTGTTATCCATCTGCCGCTAAGCTTTTCCCCAATGTCTTTCCTGAACTATCCCCCTGTTTATTGAAAATGAGCCTTTAAAGACAGTCTCTCTGTCTGTGTCCCTCTGGGATATTAGAACTAGCCTTCAAACCTGCAGAGGATAGGCCATTGAACTGAGGGCCATTTAAACCCTTTCAGTTCTAACATTGAGTGCTTGTAAACATTCTATATTCGTTAATTTGTTTCACTTGAAGCTGATTTCCAAGGCGATTTTTAAATAGAGCATTTGACTATAAAGAATGGACAGAAGTGCTGAGGATTTGGGTGATGGCAGTAAGAATTTTGAGTCACTTCCAGAATTTGTAGAATGTGACCATCTACTATTTTGTACAAAGAGGAGACTTGGCACCCAGTAAGTGTGGTTAAACCAGGGATGCACTCACTTCAATAGTGCAGATTTAACAACAGCTTTCTTTATCTTACTTAAGATTTTAACCTCAAAGAAATTTTCTGTGTTAAACTTTTTTCTGGGAGTTGAGGTTGGGAAGGGTTTTGGAAGGTTTTGTGATTTTCTTGTTACTTAAAACTGCTTTTTGAGCTCTCCCATCTTGTATCTTTGTTTTTCCTCACTATCTTACTAGTATAAATAAAAGTAAATTTTCAAATGAAGTCATTTGAAAGTCATTTATTTATCTTCAAATGAAGAAGATAATGTTAATTTGTAAGTTTCTTAGGGAAATATATTTTTAAATCAATTAAAATCAAATCTAGAAAAATAGTAGAGCCAGAAAATATCCATTAAATGATGCATTTTTACATGGAGGGAAACTGCACCCAGTTGCTGATCAAGCTGGAATAATGTATCTTGGCCTTCTCCTCCTCTGTACTATTTTCCTGTAATGCACCTTTAATACAGTCATGTAATTTGGAATACTTATAATCAGTGAGGTTAGAATATTTTAGTACTGTTTCTGTCTGTTATTTATCAGTATCTTAGAATTTTGGATTGAATTTATGATAATCTTGATAATAAATTCTTCTGAAATAAAATATTCTGTACCAGTTACATGAGGTAAAATGATAATTACTGCACCATTGTATAAAGCTAGGGATTTAGAGAAGCATCCTTTGACTAGTGTATTGGTGATTATTTTACAATTGCCTCATAATTTTCCTTTTAAATATATGGTACAATTTTTTTTCTTGTTTCTAGCTCTGAATCTCTAAGAAATGACATTGGACTTGATTTAAAGACTCCATTGTCAAATTTTGAGAAAAGAAAAAAGATTTCTCTTCTTCATTCAAGCAAGGAAAAGCTGAGAAGGTAAATTCTGATACAGCACCCCCCCCCTTTTTTTAGCATTATTCCTTTGTAGGAAGAAATTACTTTCATGAATTTCATAGTTTTTTATAGCATTGTTAAAAGTTAGTGTGAAGACTTCTCTTATGGTCCAGTGATTAAGAATCCACCTGCCAATGCAGGGTACTTGGGTTCGATCCCAGTCCGGGAAAATTCTACGTGCTACAGAGCAACTAAATCCATGCACCACAACTACTGAAGCCTGCATGCCTAGAGCCCATGCTCCATAACAAAAGAAGCCCAGCAATGAGAAGCCCGGGCACCAGAAACTAGAGAGTAGCCCCTACTTGCTGCAACTAGAGAAGAACCTGCAGGCAGCAGCAAAGATGCAGCATGGCCGAAAGAAAAGTTACCACTGTGAGACTAGTTTATCTGGCAACTGAATACATGCTACTCACTCATTCCACTTAGTTAGCCATTCAGCAAGTAGATGTGAGTGTGATGTGCCAGAATATGATTGGAGAATTGAGATAAGAAATAAATTGTTGCCTTCAAGGAGGTCTTAGCCTAGCACTCAGACAGGCTTCTAACAAAAATATTTAGGAACAAAAATGCATAAAAGACATGTAATATCTGTACAGTGGTCATTCAAGATATTGCTGTGATAAACTAAAAACCTAAATCATGCATTATACATAATTATGAATTAAACTACTTATGTTATTAAGATCTCAGTCCTCACTAAACTGAAATACAATTTTATTCAGATCTAGATAATTTGAGTAGTTTTTTGGTTTTTTTTTTGTTTTTGGAAAAAGTTGACAGTCTAATTCGAAACTGTATGGAAAGGGCTCTGAATATAAAAGGCCTTAGAATAGAGCAATCTTGAAAACATCTAACAAAATTGGAGTGTGTAATCTACCTGGCTTTAAGACATAGTATACAGCTACATTTATCAGTTATTTTACTAAAACGAGGATGGACTGATAGATAATAGAACACAATAGCCCAGTATTAGACCCACATATTTTGGTCTCTTGATTTTCAGCAAATCACAAGAGCAAACAACTTGGGTAACAGAAGTCTTTTCTATAAATGGTGCTGGAACAACTGGACATCTGTGTGAAACAAATGATGAAACTTGACCCCTTACTCATATCATGTGAAAATTAATTCAACATGGAGTATAGGCAGGGCTGCTATATAAAGCTAGAGCTGTAAAGCTTCTAGAATAGGGCTGTTCAGTAGAACTTTATGCAGTGTTAGAAGTGGCCTGGATCTGCTGTCCAGGAAGGTAGCTGCGTCATATTACTGAGTATTTGAAATGTGGAAACTTAGGAAATGAATTCAAATTTTTATTAATTTTTTATGAATTTATACTTAAATAGATTCATGTGGCTCATAGGTAATGAACTGAAAGCTACAGTTCTAGAAGAAAATAAAGGTTAATGTTTTCACTAGCTGAGGGTAGGCGATTGTTCCTTATGACACAGAAAGCAATAACCACAAAAGAAACAGTGGATGAATTAGGACTCCTCAAAATTTACAACTTTTGCTTTCATAAGAAAAAGAAACAGTGGATGAATTAGGACTCCTCAAAATTTACAACTTTTGCTTTCATAAGACCCCACTCAGAAAATAAATAGGCAGACTACAGACAGGGAGAAAAGATTTGCAAAACAAATATATTGGCAAAATACTGACACTAGAATATATAGAGAACTCCTAAAGTTCAATAATAAAAAGACCTGCATAGGTAAATTATTTGAACAGACACTTCACAAAGGAAGGTAAAGTGCCTAATAAGCAGCAGAAAAAAATGCTGAATGTAATTTGTCATCATGGAAATGCACATTATAAAGCATGAGATACTACCACATATACCTCAGAAAATCCAATATTTTAAAACTAAAACTGACAGTGTTAAATGTTGTCATAGATTTGGAACAACAGGGATTCTCATACACTGATGGTGGGAGTGTAAAATGGTAGAATTTGAGGGAAAGTTCTAAATTTATAAAATAGCCCATTGATTCAATTCCTGTACATTTACTAAGAGAAATAAAATGTGCATTCACAAAAAGATGTATAGAAGATCTAGTAGTTTTATTCCTAATGATCAAAAATTGGAAATAGTGGAAGTGCTGATTAATAAGAGCCTGAATAAATAAGTTATGGCATATTTATACTTTGGAACACTATTAATAAAAAGCAACAAATTACTGACATAACAGATTATCTTGGATAAATCTCAAAAACATTATGCAAGTGAGAGAAACCTTACATAAAAAGACACATGTTGTGAGATTTAATTTATATGAAGTTGGAGGCAAAAATTAATGTGAGAGGGAAAAATATCAGAAATGTGGTTGCCTTTTACAGGGAATGAGACTAAGAAGGGACAGAAGGAACTTCCTGGGGTCATGAGAATGTCGATGAGGTGGCTCGTGTCACACAGCTTTGTGCATTATCAAAGCTCACAGAATGGCACCCTTAAGATTGGTGCATTTTATTTTATGTAACTTTTACCTGAAAAGAAAATAATGTTAACTGTAGCTCATAATATGTTTAGGGGTTTAGTGTACTAAAGTCTGTAATTTACTTTGAAATACTTCAGTGTAATGAAATGGATTGATGTCTGACCAGTGGGATGATTCATATATAACAAAGCATGGACAGTAACTGTTCACTGTGGACTCCAGGTTATAGGTATTTAAGTGCTCCCTGTACAAATTCTTAATTTTTTTAGCTTTTAAGGAATAAGAATTTTTAATTCTTTCAGTCTCCCTGTATGTTTGAACATTTTCCTAATGGAAGAAATGTTTAATATGATTTTTCACTATAAAAGTGATATATGCCCCACAGATACTTGGAAAATGTAGAAAGTAAAAAGAAGAAATAATATGTTCTACAGTCCAACCGTCTAGAAATAATGACTAATTGACACTATGGTCTCTTTTGGCCTTAGTGGCTGTAATCATGCTTCATATGCTATCTTCTATCTTGTACTTATATCCTATAGAAATACCTTATTTTTCCCTAGTAAGCTTTATATCCTTTCCACATCCAGATAATATTCTGCTGAACTAATATCCTCTAGCTTACTTAAGCATCCACTTATTTTGTGTCTTTAGATTGGTTTTCCTATTTTACTGAAAAGGAAAGTGAAGTCGCTCAGTTGTGTCTGACTGTTTACGACCCCATGGACTGTAGCCCTACCAGGTTCCTCCATCCATGGGATTTCCAGGCAAGAGTACTGGAGTGGGTTGCTATTTCCTTCTCCAGGAGATCTTCCCAATCCAGGGATTGAACCTGGGTCTCCTGCATTGTAGGCAGATGCTTTACTGTCTGAGCCACAGGGAGGTCATTTTACTGAAAGGCTACCATAATGGATATTCTACAGAAAGTTTATTCTGTGTTTGCAGTCCTTATAAGTGAAAGCACCCTATGGAAGGGTGTATGAAGTTTCAAAGCCCTTCATCCATGTGTCAAATTGTTGACACTTCCAACCCTTTTACAGAATGGTCCCTGAGACATTTCCATGGAACCCCCAAAGCTTAAAGCCCAATTAAAATACCACCTACTGGTCTGTAATATTTGAGTTATTCATTGGCTATATGTCAAAGTGGGTTTTCTAATCCATGCATTTTTGTCATTCTGAGGTTCAGAAAGGTTTAGTAGCTTGCCTAAGATCCCAGCTAGAAATTGGCAAAGCCACCCTTTGATCCCATTTATATCAAGGCAGTATTCAGCACAGAACATGCTTAAGAATGTTTATTAAGTGAAAACTTGGATAACTGAAGGTTGCAAAGGCTTCCGTCAGTTTGGTGTTACAAGTCCTATGTATTTCCCTTCAGAACTATGAAAGACTTAGGTGGGTTTCTTTCTGGTATGAGCCTGGATTTCATTCTCATTTGCATATTGGTTTATTTGTTTTGCTCATGTGCCCGCCTTGTGTAAAGGAAGCAGGCTTTTGATTTTCCTTTGGACACTTCAGAACACAGTTAAAGGCCATGTATTTCAAGATGCTAATTGTGTGTTGTTGGAATTGTGGTCCAGATCAGAGTGACGGGACTATCCCATGGACTCTGTCTTCCAGGTGTCTCTCTCGTGTGGGTCACAAAAGGATTTACCCATGTGGCGTGTGATTCTCTCCTCTGAGGGTTGCGTCGCCTGTGGATTTCCACAGGCAGAAGGGGTGTTCTCTGGTGTCCTCAGTGTCCAGGCATCTTGCATACCCACAAGGACGAGTGAGCTGGGCTGCCATCAGCACAGATGCTGTATTTGGCAGCATGTGAGCCAGCGCCCCGGGAAGCTGTGATTCCAGGGGCCGTGGAGGCTGCTGGCTTGTGGGGACATGGTCTTCCTCTGAATCGGAGACCAGAAAGGGAGGGGCTGGTTCCTTTATAAACAGACCCAGGAGGAAGATTGTTTGTCCTTGTGACAGGAAGAAAGTGGACTAATTATTCCTTACTTGTCACACTTCTCTGCTCAGAGAACGAATCAAGTATTGCTGTGAGCAGCTGCGCACCCTGCTGCCGTATATAAAGGGGAGAAAGAATGATGCGGCTTCTGTCCTCGAGGCCACAGTTGATTACGTGAAGTTTGTCCGGGAGAAAATCCCTCCAGCCATCATGGGCCAGGTATGCAACTCTCAAGCCCTTGAATTTTATCCTCATAGACAATGCTTTAATGCTGTAGTTTCCTTTCTTTTTGTTTTATAATTGGAAATTATGTCTGTTTGTATATTTTGAAAAACATCTATAGCTAGCGATTGATAAAGTAGGTCTCTGTTTCTTAGATTACAGAAGTACTTCAGAGCAATAGGAAGTTTTGTAAGAAACAACAAATGCCCATCCAGCTATCTGTCCCGGGCACAATCATGGGACAAAGGTATGACAATCTGAATCTTGTGAATCCAAAGTCACCTTGTTATTTTTCTCTGATACTAATGCTAGAAATAAGACAGGCACTGAACCCACCCATACTGAAAACTCAGGCATCTACTAAGAATCAGTGAACCTTTCCCACAGCTGATGTGCATCATTGAATTACAGTAGATAAAATATATAATAGTCTCAGGCCTGGGATCCCTTCATGACTTGACTCACTCTTAATTTCTTTTGTTGTTTCTTTAAACCAGACTTCACAAGTAGTGCCTGTGGTGACTGACAGTGTATTCATGGCATGATAGATTCTAGCATTCCTCTGTGACCAGGGCAATACAGCCTCATTTTTTTCAGTTAGGAGTCCTTAAAGAAATTTCTAGTGTAAAGGGTGGTGTGCCAAATGAATGCTTCCTTATTTAAATTGATTAGAATATGTAAACCAAGAAAAACTCTTAACAAGGAAAAGTAAACCTTTCCTTCATGTCCTCAATAACCATCCTGAGTCCTAGTCTATGCTTTGCTCTAATATTTAATGCAGAGTTTATCTCTGTGCCTTTTAGAACTCGAGTGACAGAAGAGCAGTTCAGCTCAACAGCGTTCACATCCTCTTCTTTGAGACATGCCTAAGGAGTGCTTTTTGTCTTCTCAGGGAAAACAGTGTGCTGACCAGCACTTACTCACCTGGCACAGGCATCAGATTCCTGACTAACAAGCACTTGAATGTGTATTCTGTCCCTCCCTCAGGGGGTGCCTTGGACGAAGCTGTGAGAGGTGAGCTCTGCCCGCTGCCCTGTGGCCATAGTGCATGTGGGCTTCTGTGCGTGTCCTGCTCACCCGGGGCTCCTGTTAGCCACTGCCATAACCACGGGATGAGGCGTATCTGGGAGATTGCACCCTGGGTCCTCTGGTGCTGTCCGCTGGAAGGACACAGCTGGCCACAGGCATTTGAATAGTCTTATCCCAGAGGGTGGGCTGAAAATTGACTATCATCACCAGAAAGTTCATCTTGCTCACAGATGACGAGCACACTGGTGACTGTGTGTATTATGTGAGTAGAATCTAAAGCGAGGGAAGTACTTTTGTTAATTCAGTGCTAACAGTGTATAGGCAGACTGTGGATATATTGTGAGTTCTCTTCCAGGCCACTGCAATAAAATGAGCTTTGCAATAGAGTCATACATTGTTTGATATCTCAGTGCATATAAAAATTATGTTTACACCATACCATAGTCTGTTAAGTACATGATAGCATATGTCTTAAAAAGTCTTATGCATGCCTTAATTTTAAAAAGTTTCATTGCTTTAAAATGCTAGCTGTCATCTGCACTTTCAGCAAATACTAGTAGTGATATCAAAGATGTGACAGTGTCATTGAGGTCATGTGCATATTGTGGGGACATAATGGAGACCACATGAAAAAATGGGGTTATTGGGATTGATGTCAAAGGAGAAAGGGGCCCAAAATAGGACACAGCCCTCCTTGCTCATGTATCAGCCTCAGGGTGTTTGTTAGTCCTTTTAGACTTTTTTCCTGACTTAGTGGGGAGGTAAGGAGAGAAGGAAACAGTAGCCATGAGCCATGGTTAAACTGCTTAGAGTAGCTCTCACTGAATGATACAAAGAATGATTAAATCAGCCCAGATTAGATCAGAGAGGGACCAGGCCACAGGCACATGCCTGTCAGTGTTACTTCTTATACAGACAGTACTTCTGCATTTTCACTCTTCATATCCTGCAGAATCTCTGAAACACTCTCCTCATGCATTCAGGCATGAGGAAAGGCATTCAGAAAGGCATTCAGGCCTTTCTGTGCCCCGGATCTCTTGGTTTTGTATCACCTAAAGTGACTGGTCCAAGAAGAAACAAATCCACTAGGACCATAGCTTATGTCAGGCTGGAGGAGACCTTGAAGGTCACTGAACCAAACTCCTCATTCTGATTTTATTTAAATACATTTTTCCATTTGAAAGCAATATTAGTCCTTTACTAAAAACCAGCTAGTAGTAGTCATATACAGATGTGAGAGTTGGACCATAAAGAAGGCTGAGAACTGAAGAATTGATGCCTTCAAATTGTGGTGCTAGAGAAGACTCTTGAGAGTCCCTTGAACTGCAAGGAGATCAAACCAGTCAGTCCTAAAGGAAATCAACCCAGAATATTCATTGGAAGGACTAATGCTGAAGCTCCAATATGTTGGTCACCTGATGTGAGGAGCCAATTCATTGGAAAAGACCCTGATGCTGGGAAAGATTGACAGCAGGAGGAGAAGGAGGTGACAGAGGATGAGATGGTTAGATAGCATCACCAACTCAATGGACATGAGTTTGACCAAACTCCAGGAGATAGTGAAGGACAGGGGAACCTGGCTTACTGCAGTCCATGGGGTCGCAAAGAGTTGGACACGATGGGGCAACTGAACAATAACAACATAGTAGTAATCATATCAGACCTCCGATTTTGTCTCTGACTTTTTTACTTAACATTGTGTCCTGTACACTTGTATTTTGTATTATGCAGCTTTTATCACCAGTTTAATGGTTTTAGTAGTTTATCTAACAATTTATAGAATAGTTTTCTTGCTATATTTAGTGTTTCCAGGTTTGTGAGGAAAGTGATTTTATACATAACATTTCAGAAAATACATCTCCATATATGGATTTTTCTATATTTTGGACTTGCCTTGGGCTGGATGTGAGCACATGTGTAGCTGGCTATGCATGTTGCAAAATGGTTTTTGAAAGAGGAATGGAACAGTTGGAATCAGTTAAGTCTTTCAAATTGCACTTCTACCACTTAGGCCAGTAAATTGAAGGTTAGAGAAGTTAAGTGGCCACCTATGATCCCCTGATTTCTGTGATAAATCTGACCTGTAAACCAGAAGTGCTGATCTTAGTCAGCGTTTAGACTTCATTAAGCTGCTTTTACTTGTCCTTTTCCATAAATTTATGTACACTTTTGCTGAAATGATTTTTTTCACAAATATTTCAGGTCCATTTGTATTTAAAGTCGATATAAAATTATATTCCTTTACTTTCCTTTCTTTTAGTGTCCTGAAGAAAATAAATATGCACAGCATACGGACTACATTGTTACCGTTCACTAGATATTAAACATTTTTTCTGCCTTCTAGTTACTGTACAGAATAGAATGATATAACAGTATAACCCACTCACTGATGGAAAAATCAGTGACCAAACTATTTGTGGCTGAATGGAGTTTTTCTTTCCAACATTCTTCCTTGCTTCATAGAATTGGTCACTTATTATGATGAAAGACACACACACACATACACAGGCAGAGAGATCTGATGCATCTCTAAAATCTCTGTCTTTAAATGACAAGTGAACACTAATTTATAGTGTTTGTATTACACTAAATGTCACTACCAAAAAGTTCACTTTGTTTTTTTCATCAGCATTTGAGTGTCGCAGTATCTTAAGTTTGTACCATGGTGAAATGAAATAGAGGGTGATTTATTTCAAGTACAGTAGTTCAGAGTTATCAATTTGCATATACTGATGGATACTCTTTTTTTATTAAAGGTCAGTCCAGCTCTGCGTCAGAGAATGCTATCGGTGATGTGTATAAAACCCGAATCCCCAGCACAGCTCTGTCTCTGAATTCCTTCCACGCTGTTAGATACTATTCTAAAGTGGTCCCTTCCTATGACGCAGCTGCCGTAACAAATCAGAACACTTCAGTGCATTTCCCAACAGCTGTACCCAAAGTCTCTAAGTTTCTTCCTCAGCACTGCAATTCTGTGCTGGGCCAGGCGTGCACAGCACACCCCAACTGTCTGGTAAGTCTCCTGGGTCTGCGGGTCAGCTGGGCTCTTTCATTCCAGCCCACAGGGCCCCCTGACCTGCCTTTTGTTGCTGACGCCCTGGGTTAGAAATCTCGCAGACTGGGGCCATGGGAGGCAGCCCAGGCACCGGTTCCCAGGGCTGCCCGACGGCTCTCTAGATACCCAGAGTCAGACTGGACGTGGCCCTGCTGCTCTGACCGGACGTGACCTAATGGAACCTAATCTCCTCTAGCACCCCTCCTCACTGCTCCCCACCCCACCAGCCTCATCCTCCACTGGCCCGATGGCTGGCTGCTGCTTTATCTCTAGGCCCCAGTCACTTACACTGTATGAAAACCTGTTCTTGAAATGCCAGCCAGGTTGGTTTCACATCCCAGGTGTCTGCATACCACAGATATTTATTGAGCACCTACTGTGTTCCAGCATTGTGCTAACCACTGAGAATGGAGTGTCTAAAGATAGACCACGATCCCTGCGTTGATGAAGCTGAGTCTCATAGGGTGCAAACATAGAAGCAGACAGTGGTGATGTGCATTGGAGCATGTAGGGGGAGACCCCAGTGTATGTAGTGTGACACAGATGTGGGCAAGGTTAGGGACAGTGTGTCCCTGGAGGAAGTACTATCTCCGCTGAGATCTGAAGAGTGAGAATTAGCTCAGGAGAGCAGTTAGGAATTGTGAGTGAGGAAGGGAAAAGCATTCCAGGCAGATGGTTCAGCATATATAAACAGTGGTATCTTCATTTTGGGCAAGAATTGTCCAATTCCAGAGGAAGACCCAAACCAGAGTTGCCTGCTTAAAATAGACTCTCATAGCCTTAATATAACTGTCAATACTTTTGTATATTAATAATAGTTAACATGTTTTGAGCACTTAGTAAGTAATGTGTACTTAATACAAATACCATACATATTAATGTGGGTTATTTGATGAACCTCTGACAGTCATTTGAGGTAGGGACATCATTTCCATATGACATCTATAGAGTAGGAATAATAGTGACTTTCCCAAAAAACATTTAAGAAAACTATTCTAAAGAGCATTAGAAAGACATTTTAAAACATGAAGTATCTACAGATATAATACTGTTCCTAATATTCATTAGTATACCAGTCTGGAAACTAGAGTAAATTAAAAAAAAAAGGATTGTAACATTATTTTTTTTAAATTGTGACCTACACTTAACTGTATGTAGTTTTTGTTGGAGAATTGTTACAAGAATATAATTACTTTTAGTAACTATGAATAATACATATTTTAAAACCTGTAGGCATATTCACCTAAAGAGTTCATGGTTTTACAAATTATTTCCTATTGCTTGAGGACATAGAAAATACATTGTGTCATTATGAGTAAGAACAGGCTAGGATTCAATTAATGTGTTTTTTGTTTTTTTTTTTTTCACCTTTGCAGCAACAGTTTTGGGCGTATTAATAGCACATGTTTGAAATTCACTCTAGACCACCTATTGGGTGCCGTTTGACAATACAGGAAGAATGGAACAAAGAATGATCTTGAAAGCTACACCCAGAGACCTAATATCAAAAGGGTTTGCATTGTATGGCTTCTGATAAATGTGCTAAAAGCTTCTGCAGGTAGAAAGAGAGGCAGCAAGAGTACTAGCTAGCCATAGGCTTTTATTAATACTTCGCTTCATATATACTTGGATCTCCCCCAACCAAAGTGCTCTAAGAACAAATGGCCTAGGTGACCTGGACACTTTTTGTTCTCAAAAAACATTCCACAATTTTTGCAAAAAGTACATTATAAAGAAGATCCACAATTTATGCAAAATTACGTTATAAAGATCCACATAGTGCATTGATGTTGCTAAGTACAGATATTGCAACTTGATTCTTATTTTTAGTATCACTGTGAGTTACTGTCACTTATTTCTAGGTGGTATCTTTTCCAGATTTAGCATTTTAGAGCATTTCCTTCATTATTCCCACTAAGATACCTTAATTTGAGAGATGTGTTTACCTCCTCACTTGACTACTAATGAATAAACTGATGTGTTTATTTTTGCATTTCACCTTCCCTTGAGTGAAATGAGAGCTAACAGGTAAATGTCTCTTTCTGGATCTTTAGTTACAGATTAGCAGGTTTTTCTTTGTTTTCCATGTCCTTCTCCCTATAGGCATTAGAAAAGATTGTTGGAAATAAGGGGAGAAAAATGTTTGTTTTATATTTCACTGAAATGTTCTTATGCATAAGTTTTATCATTAAAGGAAATATTCAGTTCTGATACTGAAAATGATAACCTGTTTTTGTTCTGTTTAATGAATACGTGCTCCCTCTTTTAGTAGTGCTATGTAGGGAAATTAATTTTACTAGATTTTTGAGCAGTTTAAAAATTAGGCATAGCCTACATTTAATGTTAAAATGTGTAACTTTTCTTTGAGGATGGCAAGATGATGGAATTTGTAGATATTTGGCAAACTTGATAAAGGAACTAGAAGTTTCTAACTAAGATTCTGTGCTTTTTATTATAAACATGTGCTGGACTCTTGCTGTTGGGAACAGTAATGGCTTTGACATAGTAGGAGAACCTGTTAAGGTGTTTTGAGCACTGGGATGACTTCCTGTGTTCATAGCCGGTGTTAGTTTATACTGGGACTTGTGCTTTTCATCAGCATTTCCCTCAATGCATGCATGTACCATGAGACACAGTTGTGGCTTGGAATTCTATAATACCTAGAAGGGTGACACACAGATCCCGTCCACCTACAGTTTTCAATCCCCCTTTTTTTCTCTTTCTATGTGAAGAAGAGGTTGCCAGATTCATCTTTTTTTCAGTGCTGCTCCCCATGATCCTTCATGCAAGTGTCCAAAATTACTTCCAATACTTGAATTTTATTTTTAATAAATTATGCTCTTCTGACGAAGTTCAGCTGTCAACTGGGGAGGAAAGGTTAGTTGGGCCTCAGCTTGTAAAACTAGAACAGATTTTCCTTTGTAAAGTCAGGATGACTGGTTATGAGACAGTTGCAATGTTGTTTTCACAATGAAAAAGGTACAAAGAGTTTGTTGAGAAAAAGTGGCAGCTTGCAGGTTTTACTGATGATTACAGCAGTCCCTTCCCCAGATAGGGATCGAGGGCAGAAGCAAATGTTTATTGAGCCCTTTCTGTGGCCTAGGCAGTTTAGGAGATATAAAGGACTTAGCTGTACTAGCCTCTAGACCCTCCATGTCAGCCATCTGACTGGTTAGATGGATGGACGCACAGGTGCTTGGATGGGTACCTGGGGGAAGGAGGAGCCAAGAGGAAGGAGTCATCTGAACATGGGTGATGATCCTGAGAAAGGAAAGAAGACATGGTCAGGCACTTAGGGATCCACTTGAAGTCAAAAGAGAAGAGTGGAAGAAGATACTTAGCCATCCATCAGTATAGCTTTTACAGAGAATGTATCGCTACTCTGTTTACACCTATTTCCTGCCCCTCAACCATGCTTTTCTAATAGATGAGTTGGATGGTCTCCCAGCATAGCAGACATGGCAGTAATTGGGAGTGTTTGCAAACAAACTGTTGTCTGTTCAATGGAGAACAGTCAGATGATGAACAACTCAAAAAATCATTCCGTTATTTATTAACTTTCCTCTAACTATTTATTTGGCAGACTTTGTCTTATTTTTTTTTTAAAGACTTCTTTTTTTTTGATGTGGACCATTTTTTTAAGTCTTTATTGATTGTTACAATATTGATCCTGTTTTGTGTTTTGGGATTTTTTGGGCCCTGAGGCATGTAGGATCATAGTTCCCAGCCCAGGAATTGAACCCACACCTCCTGCATTGGAAAGCAAAGTCTTAACCACTGGACTGCCAGGGAAGTCCCATGGTAGGCATTGTCTTAAATGCTGGGAAAACTATATAAGGCATTGTCTTTTTTTATGTTCTGTATATAGGCGTTTAGAATCTGTTGGGAGGGACAGGTTGGCTGAAACTGCAGTGGAGTTTAGTGAGTGTTATGCAGGGGGAGAATATGAAGTTCTCAGAAGCATTGCCCACAGCATTCTGGGGATTCACGAGAGGCTATGGAGGTAGTGATGTCTGTGGGTGTGTGCTAAGTTGCTTCAGTCATGTCAGACTCTGTGCAGCCCTATGGACTGCAGCCTGCCAGTCTGTGCTCTCCTTTAAAACTGGTAGTGACATGACCTATCTCTTGAGCTTGTCGTGAAGATTAAATGATAAAATATGTGAAAGCTCTTAGAATAGTGCCTGGCACGTAGTAAGCATTTAATACATGTTAATTCATCATATGATTGTCATCACCACAATTATAACAATGATTAGGCTAAGATTTTAAGGGCCTGTAGGCATAAACTTAGCCAAGCCTTGGAAATTTGGGGACTGGTTAGGGAGATGAGTTTTCAGGCAGAGAGAACCTCATTTGCGAAGGAACAAAGGAAAAAACAGTGTGGAGAAGTGAAGGTGATTCTACGTGGCTGTGAAGAGAGTTCAGGCGTGGGCTAGAGGAAGAATGGGGCAGGGAGAGAAGCGAGGGCCATCCGACTCTGCCCTGTTTGCACTCTGACTGGTCCTCACTGCTGCCATGGTATTGACGTCACCAGATTTGCATTTTAGGGTGACCATTCTGGTTTTGGTGAGTTAAAGCCAGAATGAATCAAAGCGGGGCTAAAACCAACTTGGCAGGGGAAGGACTGGCCATTTCAGTAATTCAGACAAGAGATGGCCTGAAATAAGTCACTGGCAATGGGAATGAAAAGAAGAGGCAAATTTGGTTGATAACTCAGAAGGAAGAATTAGCAAGAGGTGGTAGATGATCCGAGATAGAGGTTGTGAAGGAGGGCAGAGTAATAAGGATAACGCCCAGGTCCGGGCTTTGGTCGCTGGACAGGTCACAGTGAGCACTAGGCGGACACAAGGAAACGAGTGTTTGGAGGGATGGCGTTGGATGGACACTTTCATCTGGGAATGTGTTACTCTGTTGTGTGTGTAGGGCATCCTAGTGGAGGTGGCCAAAAAGCACTCAGACCTGCACACACAGAGAGGCAGGGATTGGGGTGAGAGATGGTTTAGGGTGTCTTCATCCTGAGGTGGGAAAATGTGGCCGGGGGTGGGGATTCAGTCGTTAAATGGTGGCCTGGGTGACGCACAAGGGCCTTCTAAGCCTGCAGTTCTATTACAGTTCATCATGAGAAGTCACTCGGTCAGGCCCCAAGTGTCGCATGACACTGCACGTTACCAGAGTTTTGAGACATGGGTAGAACTCTCTAAGGCAGGGGGTACAACTTGCTTGTGGTGGCTGTGTTTACTGTTTTATTTATTTTTTCTTCTATTTTTATGGAGATGTAATCGACATACAACACTGTATAAGTTTAAGGTGTACAGTATTATGACTTAACATATATCATGAAATGATTAGGACAGTAAGTTTAGGGAACATCCATCTTCTCATATAGATACAAAGTCAAAGAAAAAAAAATTTTCCTTGCAATGATGACTTTTAAGATTTACTCTCTTAACAACTCTGATATATAACATACAGCAGGGTTATTTATATTAATCATGTTGTGCATTATATCCCTAGTGCTTATTTATCTTATAAGTTTGTACCTTTTGAAACCACCTTCATCCAATTCCCCCCTCCCCAACCCCAGTGAGAAACTAAATTTCTCTGAATTTCTGGCTTCTGAAAAATTCAAAACATAGGCAATACTGGATCTATTTCTGCTTTGGCAAAATACCAGCACATTGCTCAGGTAAGTACTACCTGGCCCTTTATATTGGGCATCAGGTTCCTTCTAGTCACATCTCACCCAGCTTGCTTCCTTCATTGAAATGACTTGCCTGGTCCCTATAGGTATTCCAGTTGGTCCCCCACACTTGGAGGATGGAGAGTGGCAGCACATTAAAATACACATTCCCAGGCAGCATACCCCACGGTCAGATTGGCAGGCTTGGTTATGGCGGTACCAAGGAATTTATATTATAACAACACTGCCCAAGATGTTGCTGGCATCTGATTATCCTCCTTAAAAACACCCAGTGCACATAAATGGATGCAGATACCCAGAGGGGACATGAAACAGAATGTAAAAAGTGAAAGTGTTAGTTACTCAGTCATGTCCGACTCTGTGACCCCATGGATGAGACTCCTCTGTCCATGGCATTCTCCAGACAAGAATACTGAAGTGGGTTGCCATGCCTTTCCCCAGGGGACCTTCCTGATCCTGAGATTGAACCCTGGGTCTCCTGCACTGCAGGCAGATTCTTTACCATTTGAGCCACCAGGGAAACAGAATAGACACAGTAAAACGTCCTTGACTTCTAAACCTGAAGCACTTGGGGATTTATAAAAACCATGCATTTGGGGGTTCCTGTCTCAGAGACTCTGGTTCCGTAATTCTGGAACAGGGCCCAGTAATCAGCATAGAATGATTCGGATGCACCGCCAGGTTTGAGGGCCACTG